GATCATCGAGTAGAGGATATTTTAGTAAGTCCTTGTGTCCATTGATCTAGTTGCCTAAAACAAAGCTGCCTCGGAATAGTTGCCTCGGAATAAAAGATCAATGGCATAAGGGTAGCTTCTAAGGTGTCTTCCCATTGCTCCGGTGATCACCATGTCCCTAAAACTCGAATGGACCCGAACACCTCCAACGGTGGTGCTACCTACCTCTCAATGGTGGGATGGCACTACTTTAAAGGACATTTACCCAGACGAATTCCTTAGGGTAGGTAGGTTCTCAAGGATACTTGCTCTAATTTCAAACAAATCAAAATACTTTTCACACCAACACATTTTCAAAAGCTTTCAACACAAATTTTTCAAACACTCTAACGTACGAGTCGAACTGAAAATTTTCAAGGAAACTTTTTAAAACCCACATTGAAAAGCAAGCAAACATTTTTGAAAACACATTGAGCAAGTGCCTAAGAGCCCATGGATAACCATGGATAGAAAGGGTGCTAACACCTTCCCTTTCTATAACCTACCTCCCGAACCGAGAGCAATCTCTTAAAAGGAATTTTTCTGTGCTTTTGTCCTTTCCATTTGGAGAAAATAAAAGACGGTGGCGACTCTTGCTTCTGCGACATTTCGCGAACCAGCTTTAAAACAGTCAGTTCCAGATCCACCGATCACAAGGTGCAACACGGCCACCCGTGTCAGGCAACATTGCTCTGTCAACCAATGTGTTGATTGATCGGTTTTCACTAAAAAAAAATCATAATTGGAGCTATGGGAATAAGATCAAAGCATTCTACTATTTGTTGGAAAGTTGAGAGAAAGAGCTACAACTTTTATGTTGAAGTCAGAAGCTGATTCAGAATGTAGAAGCCTTGAAAAATTCATTAAAGTTGCAAACTTTTAGAAATTTAGTTGTTTCAGGTTGTTTTACGGGTCTAATTTATGTTTCCGACCCAACTTGAGTTATTAGTGAAAATCCTTATTTAGCTTATAAGACTTTTTGGCGAGCGAATAATTAGAAGGGAGAAGATAAAGGTTTCGGTGGAAGTAGATTTTCATGAACGGGCATGATTGAAGATCAAATTTCTCCCCAATACTTGTAATGTTTACAATTTATCTTTTGTTTTCTTTGAATAGTACGAGTATCTAAAACCCCAATGCTAGAGGAGTGTTCTTGTTTTGCATTTGTAATGATTTTGAATTCCTAATTTGATAATACAATAGTTTTTCTATTCAATTTAATCGTTCAATATTTTTAAGGCTTTCTTTATCGGACAAACACGATTGATTTACGGTTAACAATCAGCTGGACCGCGATTGTTAAGGTTTGTGTACGATTAGACTATAGTAGATATCACCTAGGACTAGGGATACCCTATAGTTACCAGATAACTCTTGATAAAACAAAGGCTTGACTCCATCAGAAATTTCTAAGGACTTAGAATTTAGGATGAATGGTCAAAGGTTTTCTCACTAAGGACTTAGGGGAAAATAATTTAAAGAGTTGGTAATTGAATGTTATGAACTTGTTGGAGAGATCAGGATTCAAGGTTATTACATGGAAAATCATACACTTTACCATAACATGTTACTCATATTTGTCAAAATAGTCCTTTGCATCTATTTATTTTATTAGCAATTATTTTGTGTTAGCAAATCAAACCTAAAATCTAGTTTTTGTTTAGTTGAACAATAATTAGAACTTGATATTTATACGCATTCATTGAGATCGACATTCGGGAAATTTTCCTATTATTACTACAGGGGAAAAATAGTACACTTTCTATTTTACCGATCAATACCCAGACCTCAAATCTATCTTGCTAAAAACACAAGCACCAACCAACTGATCCATCAAATCATCAATCTTCAGAAGTGGATACTTATTCTTGATAGTCACCTTGTTTAGTTGTCTATAATCCACACATAATCACATAGCCTTTCTTCTTTTTCACCAACTGTTGGCTATGATTTTCATAAAGAGAGAAATCTAAACCAAAAATCAAAAAGGTTCTTTTAAGAACATTAAATTATGAGGAGTCGACTACATAAGCATGTCGACCATGGATGATTTCACAGGTAGTCGACCAAGGTTTCGTAAGTGTAGTCGATCAGAGAAGGGTTCACGGTGAATGGATTGGGCCCAAAGGAGACGAGAAGCCCAAAAAGATTAAAAGGCCCATAAGCACCTAAACTGCAAAGGCAAAGCATTATGGAGGGAGAACGTGGGCTTGACAGTTACAATAGAGAACATGGGTTCGACCACAAGAATGGAGAACGTGGATTCATAAAGAGAAGTTGGAATAGAGAACATGGTTTCGTGAAGGGAAGTTACATAAAACACGTAGCATGCAAGGAAATAAAGTCCACTAAGAAAGTAGTTATTTATGTGTATTATAAATAAAGTACTTAGTGTACTTTGTAAAAGGTCAAACTTTCATATTCCTGCATGTTAGTCATTTAGAGTAACCAAGCGAACAAGCGAAATGAGTCAGGAAAAGGCAATGTATATTTGAACCAACCTATTTTCAATCATTCTTTAATGTTGTGTCATTATCTTTCATAATTTAAAACGCTTTTTTTTCTTATTTACTTTGTCTTTTTGTCATGATCTTTTACAATTTAAAACGTTTGGCTCTCAATCGAATGCACCTTTTTAAAAACACTTTAACTACGCACGTGAACTGAAGCATTATACTGAGATTCCTTGGTCGATCTCGCCTGTAAACTTGTTTTAAAGAGACAAATATTATTTATCAAATCCAGAGGCAAACACCAACAAAACAGGTGCACTCCATGGTGACAGACTAGGATGAATAAATCAATTCTCAAGCAAATCCTCAAGTTGACTCTTCAACTCTTTCAATTCAGATGCTGACATCCGATACGGAGCCATCGATACCGGACTAGTTCTTGGAATTAAATCGATCGTAAACTCCACCTCACGTTCTGGCAAAAAATCACTTACATCATCGAGAAATACCTCAAGAAAATCACGAACTATTGATAATTCACCAATCGTTCGTTTCCCATCAACATTCAATGTTGCCATCAAAGCCAATAACACAACACCATCCTGCACAGACTCATTCACTTGTTTGACAGACATAAACTAATCTCTCTCAAAACTAGAATCAAGAAAGATAATCGTCTTGTCAAAACAGTTGATATAAATATGATTGTATTCCAACCAGTTCATCCAAAGAATAACATCAAGTTGATCTAACGGAAGACGCACTAAATCAACTCCAAAGTCTTTACCAAAAATACTCAAGGGACAATTCAAACACACATAAGAAGTAGTCACTGAACCCATAACAGGAGCGTCAATAACCATACTTCCATTTGTATCAGATAACTCAAGATTCAATCTCTTAACACAATCCAAAAAAATGAAAGAATGTGTCACACTAGTATCAATAATAGCAATCAAAGGTGTACCATTAATAAAGCATGTACCTCAGATTTGTCTATCTTCGACAATAGTCTCAGAACTAGAAAGAGCAAACACTTTTCCTCTAGCGTGATCATTCTTCGACTTGTCACACCTAGTACTAATGTGACCTTCATCACCACAATTTATAGACTAGATACAATATTTTAATTGTTTAAAATAGTAAGTTTTTTTTTTAAAATATGAATATTCAATACATTAAAAATTAAAATAATTAATTTTTATAAAAAATATTTTTTATTTGATATCTTTAAAAAATACTTCCAAGACATAATATACAATTTATTGTTTTTGACCATAGTTTTTTTGGAATTAAATTATATTAAGTTTTTAGAAGGCTAATTTTTTTCAAAGATAAGTCTTTGTCTCACAATTTAATTAAATTATTTATATAAATTTTCACTCTTAATTTTTAATAACTATTTTTTATTTATATATAAAATATAATAATTATTAAAAATTCACGCACAATTCTGAAATATAATTTAAATTATAGTAGTCATATGACTTTTGTTATATAAATTTATTTACAATTTTTAATATTCATTCTTAAATTTTAATTACTACATATATCTTTTACTCAATTATTCTATTATAAGAAAAAGAGTAAAATTGATTAAAAAATAAAAAAATCATCTAGAAACTTTTTTTTGGTTATGTGACTATTTGTCTATTTTAATTATTATTATTTTTGTTATATTTTTAGATATAAGTTTATGTTTTCTATTATTTGTTTAGATAGAGATTAAATTGCACCGATATTTCCAAAAAATTAATTTATTTTTTAAGCTTTTCGAAGTATTTATAAAATGTCTTCCCTTTTTTATTTTTATATAAATATTTTATTATCATTTATTACGTTTTATTTGGAAGAATACTTTTTAGTTATTCTATTTTGACTCAATTATTACTTCATAGTTAAGAAATAATAATAATATTAACAATAAATAAATAATCAAACTAAAAAGGTAGAAAATAGAAACCAATGTATCTGTCACATTCAATTTGATTCCACCGTTTATTTACCACATTGAAATAACGCATCCAACGGTTGAATATGCGTATAGTAAAAGACAAATTCATGAGGAAGACCGCAACAGTGGACCATACACGTGTCAGTCCTCACCAAACCTGTCTTGAGAACCGTCAGATTCAATCAATTAAAAACGAAAACGAAAGCACAGTGTGGTATTATTATAAAACCAAACCTTTGGCCAGTAAGCTTGAATTGTCAAAACCTAACACACTCTTCAATCGAGTTTCTCAGCCAATAATAAATCATTCTTAATTTTTTTTTGTTCATCATAGTTTTTTTCTTCTTCTCAACAGAAGAAGGAATGCAGAGAGATGAGAGGCCAATGTTGTTGTTTCTCTCCATCTGAAGTTATAGTTCTTTCGAAATGCATCATCGGCGGTAGACATTGCCACCGTAAACACGTCGAAGACGGTTGATCTTTTTCTTCATTTTTCATCTCCGTTCTTCATCTTTCTTCTTCTAGTCTATTAGTCTGTAAATATTAGCCATTAAGCCATTTAGTCGAGCCACAAGATGTGTGAGAAGGAAAAAGAGAGTGCTCACTCGGCTCTGCTCGACGGAAAATACGAGCTGGGTAGAGTTCTCGGTCACGGAACATTCGCGAAGGTTTACCACGCGCGAAACCTGAACACGGGAAAAAACGTAGCCATGAAAGTAGTTGGAAAAGAGAAAGTGATAAAAGTTGGAATGATGGAACAAATCAAACGAGAAATCTCAGTGATGAAGATGGTGAAACACTCAAACATAGTTCAAATCCACGAAGTCATGGCTTCGAAATCGAAGATCTACATCGCCATGGAACTCGTTCGAGGCGGTGAGCTTTTCAACAAGATCGTCAAAGGTCGGTTGAAAGAAGACGTTGCAAGAGTCTATTTTCAGCAGTTAATCTCAGCCGTTGATTTCTGTCACAGTCGCGGTGTTTACCACCGTGATCTCAAGCCGGAGAATCTCCTCCTCGACGAAGACGGTAATCTGAAGGTATCTGATTTCGGCCTAAGTACTTTCTCCGAGCATTTGAGACAAGACGGATTGTTGCATACAACTTGTGGTACTCCGGCGTATGTTTCGCCGGAGGTTATCGCAAAGAAAGGATACGACGGTGCTAAGGCGGATATTTGGTCTTGTGGTGTCATTCTTTATGTTCTTCTGGCTGGATTTTTACCGTTTCAGGATGATAATTTGGTGGCTATGTATAAGAAGATTTACCGAAGCGATTTCAAATGTCCACCGTGGTTTTCTCTTGATGCGAGAAGGCTTATTACAAAGCTTCTTGATCCGAATCCGAATAGTAGAATCACTATATCACAGATAATGGATTCTTGTTGGTTCAAGAAACCGGTTCCAAAGAGTGTGGCAAGGAGGAAGAAAGAGAAAGAAGAGGAGGAAGAAGAGAAGGGTTTTGGTTTTTTGGAGACGGAGAAATCGTCGATGACGCCGACGATGAATGCTTTTCATATAATATCGTTATCGGAGGGGTTCGATTTGTCGCCATTGTTTGAGGAGAAGAAGAGAGAAGAGAGGGAAGAGATGAGATTTGCGACGGCGGGGACGGCGAGTGGAGTGATATCGAAACTGGAACAAGTGGCGAAGGCGGTGAAGTTTGATGTGAAGAGTAGTGACACGAAGGTTAGGCTTCAGGGGCAGGAAAGAGGGAGGAAAGGGAAGTTGGCGATTGCGGCGGATATTTACGCAGTGACGCCATCGTTTCTGGTGGTGGAAGTGAAGAAAGATAAAGGGGATACTTTGGAGTATAATCAGTTCTGTAGTAAACAGCTTCGTCCTGCGCTGAAGGATATTTTCTGGACTTCTACTGATCCTCCAGCTGCTTGAAGTTTCACAAGTCTTGTGTTATTTCTCTTGTTTGTTTATTCAGTTTGTAATTGTTGTTTAGGACATGATTTGTGTTGTTTTCATTCTCAGTTTTTAGGCAATTTCTGATAAATGGTTGGTGATTGTTATTTGTCACTTGCCATAGAATCGAATTTTAGAAAAAACAAGTTAAGAATTCTTGTTGATGAATTAGTGTATGTGTCTTTTGTGTTTGATCCATTGTCTTGTTACCGTTTGTGAGTGATAATTTATGTGGAATTGGACTGTATTGAAATTTTTCTTCTCCATTTGGTTTTGTTTATTTTAACATTTCTTCTTAGATTGTTTTTTCATAAACTCTGTATTCCATCCAAAAATCCACTAATCCCGGGACAAAAATTGATTAATCCCAGGACTTAATCTTCAACAATTTCACCGTCCACTAGTAGGTCCAATCACTTCTATAGAGAAGAATCAATTACTTTGCTTACATCTCCATACCAGATTCCCAACCCGTGAATGATTTTACAACTTGCAGAATATCACATCAGTTTAGAGAGACTGCATTGAGGAGGAGCACATGGATGGGGCCAAACTTAGTTTGAACATTTGTATGTCATAATCTCTTCACATATTATTCAATAATCCATTTTTCTTGGAACTTTTGTGTGGTCTTAATGTTTTTGACAAAAAAATTGACCTATTCTTTTGTAAGTTTTTAGTTAAATCTTTACTTTAATAGTGACATAGACAAGGAAATTGTGTGTAAGTTGAAACTCCTATCTATGTTTATTTTTGTGTGAAGATAATGTATAATTATGGAACATGTGGTGATGACTGCATTATTTGGTAGGTTAACTTTTAACAGCTTTAATACTTGTATTTATGTGCTTTATATCCATGCAGTGGAGGATGACAAAGAAGCACAGACATGGTCCCATATAATAAAGTGATTCTCTATTTTGATTCCAGTAACCAAATCCGATTGAAATACTACTACTACACCACATGTGAAAGTTAAAGTTTGGATTGTTAAAAACTACACAACTTTTGGTGAATTGTCCATAAAATTATTGGTGGGTATATCTACACTTGCATTATCAACCACAGTTCTTAAATTGTTGGATAAGTAATAGTACTATTTAGCTAACACACCTATTGCGCATGTTGTCATGTATTATTACCTAACTAAAAACAAAAGGATCCAATTAATACATTATCATTAAAAATAAACAAACATTGTTTTGGTATATGTTTGTACAAAATATATATATTGTCAGGATCATGTTTCAATTCAAGATGAGGTGCATGATCTCTGGAACAAGATAATACCTGAGATAATGTGGATTTTTTAATAAAATAAACTTATTATAAGAGTTTGTTCCATGCATAATTTAGTTATCCTGCCAGGCTGTTGGCTAAAGGCTGTTGGCTAAAGGCTGTATGCCATCAAACTTGAATTAGATGCAGTAACCATAACCGCGTCACAGTAACTCGCCCTAACCGTGTCCGATCTAGAATTTAGGTCTGAGATTGTTTATAGTTGATTTTACTAATCCAAACCGTCTGATGTCTTATTTCAAAGTAACGGCGGTGATTCAAAACAGCATGCTGTTTTTACAGTCGGTAACCCGAGTCTGTAATGGCCATAATCAGTTCAAGTAGAAACATTTAAATGCGCATCTTCTGTGTTTTGCAATTTCCCAATCTTCTGTCGTCGCGTGCATGAAAATGCAAACCTGAGAATTCAAATTCAAATTTATGATCATTAAGCTATATTAATAGTACTAGCAGTTCCAATCGAAACAACAAAACCTCAAAAGAAAGTAAAACATCATAGTCAGCTATGTGGTAGTTAGGTAAACCCATGATATCCTAATTCACTCTGCTAAAGTAAATTTCAGAACAAGACGGTGGTCACATGATTTTGTCTAGTTGTTCATGGTTTGGTTCAAGAAACTCTTTTTGTCTACAACCCAAGCCCAAGACCATAAGGATTTAGACAGCTGAATAGAATGTATATTATGATTACAAGTTGTAACATAATAACCTAAACTTCTAGGAGTGGCTAGCTCATTGAACTTCATCTCCATTAAAGTTTGTGTGTGGTAGACTTTAGCTTATGAGTAAACAACACATACATCAAGGGCATTGAATAATTATTTATCATCAGATGAAATTAATGTGAATCCTATCAACTCATATGAGTCATACTCACTCAAAGAATGTACAAACAAATCTTAGGGACTTGGCAAAAAACAATTACTAAGAGGAGAACTTAATGTGAATCACCAATTACTCTGAATCGACTCATATCAAAGTGTCGCTTAAGGTGGCGGCCACCTAAGAAAAAACTAATAACTGAGAATAAGCAGTACAAGTCAGGTGGTCAAACAAACTCTCGGCCTAGCTAACTAACCACCTAAGTACCAAACTTCTGATGTGAAGTTGCAAATTAGAAACTAGTGGCTCGACACACTTCAAATCATGAGTATCCTGAATAACCCTCAGTTTAAAAAGGTTATTATGAATTGACACTCTACCTAAAAAGAGTTAGAAAGAGAAAGCAATCACCTTAGGTGAGACCTAACTCTTCGAAACAAGGGAAAAAGACCTCAGATGATCACTTGAAAGGGGGAGAGGGAAGGGGGACAGAGTAGGATATCTAGCAAAGAGGGCCCCATAAGTTGATTGAACACAGAACTAACTTGTAGAATAATGAGTCCAATCTCATCTATCATCAGCCAAACAAATAATTACCCCCTTAATGAGGATGATAAACCCCTCATCCAACTCGAGTTCCCAAACAAACATGATTCTCTTACAAGTGAGTATCCAAACCCAACGGCTACCAACCCACTGACCCACACTTTCAACATTGAACAACTTTTGGCTCGAAACTAAGAAACTAGGGAAACTCCGACAAAGGGTTTGTCAACAATCCATTACATATCACTTTCTCCACATTCTCCGAGAACCAAGAAGAAACAACTTCAGAAGAAACATTTAAATGAGAAATTTGATTTCACCAATAAGAGTATCAGTGAAATGTTTTGGTGCAGCTGCTAGCCAGTGAAAGGACGATATGGCCATCATACCTAGCTACAAGAACCTTACGCCACAAAGAGTCAGCACTATAAATTACCCTTCATCTCCTCTTACCTAGCACAGCCAAGTTAACAAACCTCAAATCTTTTACCCCATGCCCCCAACTTTATTTGGCTTATAGACATTAGACCACTAGTTGGTAATCTGTTTCCACACCTTAACAAACAATTTAATAAAAAAGAGATAAAAGATAAGGATGCTATTTAGAATAAAGTTCAAAAAGACAATTCTACCATCCAAGATGACATACTTATTTTGTTAGGACCCAAATCTCTTACGAAAAGAAGTAAGGAGAGCTTCTCAGGTTTTCAATTTGCAGCTATTCGCTTCCACTAGAAGGCCAAGATATCTAAAGGGAATTGAGCCTACTTTTACAATTAAGAAAAAACTCTCCCATCCTCATGAACGATCTACACCAGTCACTTCCATAATGCTACTTTTAGAAAAACTAAGATGTATCCCAAATGCTAGCCCAAAACAGCACAAAGTAGTCGTCATTGTCTAGAGGTTATCAACTATAGGTTCAACAAAAAGAAAAGTGACATCCACAAACAATAGATGAAAAATAAACAGAAAAGCACAGATTAGAGAGGTTACTGAAAAACACAAAAGCACAAATCCAGATGTCTTACTTACCGAGTCATAAGCATTTTAAAAATTAGCTAGCCTGTACGCCAAAACTTGGCAACTGGTTTGTAAAAACAACCAATAAAGAGATAAGCCTAGCATTAGCATATAGTAGATGAAACTTCAACCAAAAGCCTTCCCTAAAAAGATACCAAAATATTTGATGAAGGAGAAATAGAACCCAATAGGAGCCAGACTCTTGTTTCCATCACACATACAAACCACTTCATCTAACTCTGCCTACAGGAAATGAGACGATACAGCCGACCTCTGGTCCGATGCAAGAGTCGGAAAAGTAACCTCATCTAACCCCAATTTGTCACTAGGAGATTCAAAGAACTAAATAGAGAAGTAGCTAGTGACCTCCGAACGCACTTCTAAAACCTCTTCATCCCAGCGATCGCCAACCTTCAACACTACAATGTGATTTTACTTACCCTTCTCATTAATACTAGTACCGGAGAACTTGGAATTAGAATCCCCTTCTTTCAACCAACAGGGTCTCGTTCTTGCGATAACCATTGATTCTTTACACTTTACGAAACCCCGATCTTCGGATAGCCATTGATTCTTTACACTTTAGGAAACCCCATGTATCCATAAAGACTTTGCTTCTATCATAGATCTTGTCAAGAGAGAGAACCGATGTTTCCCCTTTCAAGTCCAACCTCTTGATATCCTCTGAAATAACACATATCTTAGCATCCAAATCATTAGACACCTCGTTATTCCACCGCTTAAGATCTTTCTTAAGAAATTCGAGCTTCTGGTTAAAAATAAAACTCATCCACCCTGAAAGCACAACCTCATTCTTAGCTTTTAACAACCGCATCATAAAATTCTTTACAGTTGAGCCAAATAGTCATTAAACCCAAAAGGCTTTGGGTCCCACAACCTGGAAGATTACTTGAGCCCAAGAGAACCAATTAGAGATGTCCTAGGAAGAGCCCATTAGTAAGGAAATCCACCAAAATCCAACCAACCTTCATACACCAGGATGCAGTCTAAACGACATATAGCTCTCCCATTAGTTTGAAACCAAGTGAAAGTTTGTCCCTAAAGAAGGAGATTTTGGATATCCTTCAGGGTGAATCCACCAAACCCTGACACCCCCTAACCCTGACACACCCCACTGAAATCCACTCTAGCAAAAGGCAAACTGATGTACACTTAGAAGTACACCAAATAGAATGCATACTTCCACTATTTTCCAATATTTGAGACAAAACTTCAGTCACAAAAGAAGTTACCACATAAATATACAGAATGTATCATCCACGAACTCTAATCTCGTCTCCTAAATCACAACAAAATCCAAAAGGTTTTCTCAGATAAAACTTTGCACCTTTTTCTTAACCCTCCACCCAGACACTTAATGTTAATAGTTCCCACAATCACTAGTCCATGGGCCTAGACTCTCTAACCACCTTTTCAAACAAATCCTACTTATCTAGGCCTACAAGTCTGTCAATCTTAAACGTATTGTCTCTACCAAAGTTAAATCCAAAACCTTGCTTCGTTGAAGAATTTGTATGGTATTCTCAAATAAGCTACGATTTGTCTGTTCATTATTAACACTACTCTCTTCAGGTAGATAATTTAGAAAAATATGTGGAGATGAGTTCTCCAAATGGACAGATAGGTTAATGCTCTCAAGGTCCTTGATTTCCTGAGAGAAAGGTTGAGGGGTCCCCTACCACTAGAATGGAATTCTAACGCCCAAGAATTAGGGCTGGAGCGTGGCCCAATGGATCTTAGATGAGGCTGAATTAGGGCTGGAGCGTGGCCCAATGGATCTTAGATGAGGCTCTGATACCATCTTAGAATGTGTGATTGGGCCTAACTCGACCCTACAAAACCGGCTTTAAAAACCAGCTTGTAAGGTGAGGATTACTCTCACTTATAAAGTCATGTTCAGGACATATATTGTCCGATGTGGGACTCTTAACAGAAAGCATCCAAGTTAACTAACAATATTCCAACGAAGTCTCCAAGATTCCTCGAATTACCTGTATGCAAATTAATGTGAACCACAAAACAAGAAGAGGAAGGAAATTGAAGAAAAAACCCGAGGAGCATCCTTTTGAATGTTGATTCTCTGGGAAGACATAGAGATTCAAGCTAGCACATGCAAGTAGCATACACGTGTCCACGACATGAAAGGACCCAAATGCGCCAGCAAACAAGGTTTGTCCCAATCACATGCACCTTTATGCTTGTGACACTTGGCACTGGATTGGTCATGAAGTGGAACTGCTAAAGACACATTTTTCATGGACAACAACTTGATTGGACAAGAAGAGACATGTTGACTTGATGCTCTGATGACCCTCAACATTTTGGATTGAGACCATGCACCTCCTATTGCTATCTGCAAGTTTTGAGCAACCGACTTTTCATTTAGGATGTCAGAAGGGATTGTCAATTGATTGGCCGATCATAAAGTTGGAGTAAACCAGACCAACACCCTCCAACCCTCTGTTAGGACCAACTGACCCCCGAGATAGAGTGGTTATTTTCTGAGCCAAATACAATGTTACTCAACCAGTGTATCTAGTCCTCATCCACTCACCCAGACTGCCTAAACAAGCCAGAAGAAGATGCAGGAGAAAAACCATTAATGGAATCAAGTTCTAGCGTCATGGGAACCAAAATTGCTTCACTTGTAGATTCACCAACCACTTTAACATCAAACTCGACACCTTCTGCTGCAACTAACACCAATGGATTGATTTTAACATTTACATCTATAAGAACCCTTAATCTACCAAAGTCAAACCTTGTTCTTGCAAGAATAGCTTCATCCACCACCACAAAACCACCAAAGAGAAAACTAAGTTTCAGGAAGGTTCCTTCCACCCATATATGCAGTTTGGTTGACGCCAAAGCCATGTTATGTTAATTATTCACAAAGCCTCCCGAATCAAAACTCCAATTGTTTGGTACGGATTTGAGTCACGTTGTCTCTACTATCTCCAGTCATTCCCATCCACCACATGTGTTGCTTCAGAGTCTCCAAACCTTCTTCATTGTCGTCTTGGTCATCTGAGTTTGGATAAGTTCAAGTGCATGGTTCCTCAGTTGTTACACATAAAGTCCTTAGATTGCAAGTCATGTCAACTTGGAAAACATGGTGATGGTAGAGTGTCTTTCCCTAGTAGTGAAAATAATCCAGGTGTATCTTTTTTTGATATTGTTCATTCGGATGTTTAAACCCTAATCGCATTCCTACTATTTTAGGTTATAAATATTATGTTACTTTTATTGATGACTTTTCAAAGTGTACTTGGTTATTTTTATTAAAAGATCGTTTTGAGTTAAACGGTTCCTTTCAAATGTTTTATTCTGAAATAAAAAATCAATTTGGAAAGACAATTCGAGTTTTGAGCAATGGTAATGCAAAAGAATACTTTTGTGCACCCTTTAAATTGTTTTTAACTTCTCCTGGCATCATACACCAATCTAGTTGGCCTCATACACCGAAACAAAATGGTGTGGCATAACATAAATGTTAAGAGTCCCACATCAGACGTTCAATCTTGGACGTGAAAGAGTGTGTTAAGAGTCCTACATGTGTTTATAAGTGGGGATAATCCTTACTTACAAGTCGGTTTTGTAGGGTTGAGTTAAGCCCAACTCACACATTCCAAAGATGGTATCAGAGTCCAGTTTAAGATCTGTAGGACCACTTTGCTATCAAACCACCCAACATTTAGTTTCACGCAGGTATTAAGAATCTCACATCAGACAATATGTGACATGAATATATGTTTATAAGTAGGAACAATCTTTATCTTATAAGCCGATTTTGTAGGTTGAGTTAGGCCCAACCCATACTTTCTAAGAGTAAGCATTGTCATATTGTTGATACCGCCTGGACACTGTTGATAAATGCTAAGGCACCTTAAAAATTTTGGGGGTGACGCCGTTCTTACGACATGTTATTAAATTAATCGCATGCCATCTTCTGTTTTGGGTAATAAAATTCCCCGGTCTATTTTGTTTCCATAGAACCCCCTTTATATTGTTCCCCCTCGCGTGTTTGGTTCCACCAGTTTTGTACATGCTTACTCTAGGAAGTAATAAGTTGCCTGCTGGAGCGGTCAAATGTGTCTTAGGTAAATGATCCACTATCAATCAATATCCTATTTATAATTTTGTGAGTTACCATGGTTATCTTCATGCCATTATGCCATGTCTTCTATTACCATTCTAGGATGAAGACATACAATGATTGATGAGATGACACCTTTGGAATCCAATAGTACATGGTCTCTTGTTCCTCGTCTTACTAGAAAATCGATGGGGTTTTCACTGTCAAAGTTGGCCCCAAGAGGCATGTGAATCGATTGGTGGCAAAAGGATATATTCAGATTTATGGTTTGGATATGGTGATACCTTTTCTCTAGTTGATAAAATGACATCAATTTTTTTGTTCTTGTCTAAGGCTTCCATGCATCGTTGGTCTTTATACCAACTTGATATCAAGAATGTCTTTCTACATTATGATTTAGGATAGGAGATTTAAATGGAGCAACCATCTGGCTTTGTTGCTCAAGGAGAGTCTGGTCTTGTCTGCAGGTTGCAAAAGTTATTGTATGGATTAAAACAATCATTTCATGCTTGGTTTGGAAAGTTTAGCAAAGTTATTCAACTATTTGGTATGATTCGTTGTGAAGCAGATCACTCGGTTTTCTTTAAATGCTAGCCTTTGAATGAGATGACTTACCTTGTAGTGTATGTAGATGGTATTGTCATTGAGCATGATCATGAAGAGGACATTATACAACTGAAGCAACACTTGTTTACACATTTTCAGACCAAAAATCTTGGTTGGTTGCGGTACTTTCTTAGAATTGAAGTTGCTCAATCAATGATTGATATTGCCATTTCTCAGAGGAAATATGCTCTTAACATTTTGGATGAAACATGAATGCTTGATTGTAAGTTTGTGGATACACCTATGGATCCAAACGTGAAGCTTATACTCAATCAAGGGGAGCCCAATCTAGACCCAGACCGATGTAGAAGATTGGTTGGAAAGTTATTATCTTACTATATGACCAGGCCAAACATTGCATTTATAGCCAGTGTCATTAGTCGGTTTCTCAATTCACGATGTGATAGTCATTGGAACGCAGTTGTTCAAATCATAGATACATCAAAGGGTCACCAGAAAAATGACTTATTTATATGAACAAATGTCACACGAATACTCTTGGATATTCAGATGCAAATTGGGCAAGAGATTCTAGTGATAGAAGGTCCATTTTAGGCTATTGTGTTCTCATTAAAGGTAACTTGATCTCATGGAAAAGTAAGAAACAAACATTTGTTGCAAGGTCAAACACTAAAGTTAAGTATCGGGTTATGGCTAATGCAACATGTGAACTTGTATGGTTAGAAAATCCGCTTCAAGAGTTGAAGTTTTATGAGATATGCCCTAAGGAACTTGCTTGTGAGAACCAATCTCCTATGTGCCTCTCGTCAAATCCAATATTTCATAAGAGGACTAAACACATAGAGGATGATTTTCATTTCATTAGTGAGAAGATTCTCTAATGCATCATCAACACTTCTTTTATCAGATCTAATTGATCAAATTGCAGACATGTTAACTAAGCCGTTACGAGGTCCTAGATAACTAAGCCGTTACGAGGTCCTAGAATAGCTTACATATATAATAAGTTGGATGCATATGCTCCAACTTGAGAAAGAGAGAGAGAGAGAGTACTATTATAAATATATTTTGTATTTAATTAGTAATCAATTCTATTTTTAATACAACCCTATTATTATGGGAAGAATTTTAATAGTCTCTTTTATAGACTTGCAATTCCCTTATGAACAACATGAGAAATATTTAAATTTAAGACTAAGAGTAATCATTTTTATTTGATCCATGTTGTATTTGGGTTTAAGTACCTCATGTACACCTTATCTATTCTATGTTATCAATACAGTTTGAAAAATATATTAAGATTGGTCTTTTTTTTTTAAAAGTCAGGTTAGTGTAGACCCCATAACATGAAATTACTTGCATCAATTTAGGACATATGTGCAAAAGTTGTACATTCAAAGCTATATGCAGTCAAAGAAAATCTAAGTGAAAAACAGGTGAGAGAATGAAAAGGAAAAGAGGTGCAGTAGTTTCAGTGGAATTCATTATAAAAGCTGTACCTTCAAAACAGTGAAGGTACCTGATAATGAATAGTTATTGTAATTCTACCAGGTTGGTAAGTTTTTTCTCTAACTTGGTACCAATAAGTTGATACATTGTCCTCTAACTTGGTAAGTTTGTGTAATTTTTTAATTCTATCAATAAATTGAGATGATTATGATGATGATAAGTGTTGGGATTATCTTCATCAGAGGGAGTTTACTAATAGTTAATTAGTATTTTTGGAGCTAACCCGAGAAGAATCAAACTTTAACTTTGATTATTGAATAACTTAATCATTTTTTTTGTAGTTTATCTTGTGGTCTACCTTCAAATGAATAAAGGTTCTGCATTAATTTTACCCTATATCATCATAAGTTTGAATACTGATACAATGAAGGAACTAAATGAAATACTGATTTAAGTTTACACTATATCATCATAAGTTTACACTACAAACATGAATAAACAACAAAATGAAACTAAGAACTAGGAAAACACTTCATCTATTAAATCCTAAGTAAACATAAATTGTTTCCCCTAGCCTGCTTCATTTCTAGGTTATAGAATTATCAATTGCATGCATGATAACTAACATTTATCAACAAATAATCACAGTCACTTCAAAAATCAAATGTAGTTAGTCCTGATCTATTGGTACTAATTGGGCGTATAAAGGTTGTTTCTTGGAAGTGGTTTCTGGCTAATTCACAGGTGGAATCTTGCTCGTACTTTGAGTGCTTGTGTCACTCCTTTAGAGTGTATAATATATCTAGATACTAGTCTTACTAGTGTGCGGGAAGTTTTTTATTATTCCTCTCTGGGTTCGGGTTGGAGTATCCCTCGAATTCTCTATCCATAAAATTTGTTTTGTTGTTCAAATAAAATTGAAGTTCAAACTAGAAGTAGTGATAGAGACTACTTAGCAATTATTTCAGGCCAAAAGAGTGACCGAGATATAATTCAATTTCAGGTTTACATGAATGATTATTTTTTTACATATTGTTGGTCAGTCGGGGGAGCACAATTTCAAATTGTGGACCGAGTCACATGCAACCATAATATTATGGTTGTAGCATGTATGTAACCGCATCATGCCACAGTTGCGATGTGATTTTAAATCACAATAAAAACTACATCACAAACCGCAATGGCCATAGCGTAGCGGGTGCAAGTACAACGGCTGCATCAGACCACAATGGACTATATAGTGCTCACACAAATTACTTTTATATCTCCCTTTTTCCTTTTTATCATAGATTTAGAGGATATTTTATAAGGATTGTTTGATCGGAGTTCCTTGTATCAAAAGTCTTCTTGATCAAAGTGTTCAACAGGATGAACTCATATTTGAAGGGGAGATTGCTGATATATCAAGTGTGAGTATGAGTTACATATTAGATGAAAAAGTGGATGTTGAATATTATATAAGTGAAAGGATCCATAAACCTAATGCCTTAAGGTGTGTTTAGGAGTTTGGGGGGAAGGGAGGGAAGCTTTATAAAAAAAAAAGAATTTAGTGGAAAAAATTGAAGGATTTTGATTGGGAGGATTTTAGAGGGTTTGCTTTTATTTATAACATCAAAAACCCCCTAATTTGAGAGAACTCAAAATTTGTATTGAAGGAGGATTTTGAAAGGTTTTGGAGGGCTTACATAAATTTTCCAAATATCTTTTATGGTGTTATAGTATTATGAAAATTAAAAATATAGTAATGATAAACACTATCTTATCATTCTATACAAAATCATTTTTTCAAAAAATGTCAAATATTTTTCTATATTTTTTTAAAAATTTTGTTTCGGAAGTCTTTCCCTCCCCTCTCCTCCAAACTCGCAAACAAAACCTTAAAGTTTTGGATTAAGATGTAATATCTAACTCATTTTATGTGATTGTTGAAAGTTTAATGTGACATCCTTTTTTTTTAAGTAATAAATAGTTGATAATGATATAGATATAAGATATTAGAGAGAAAATAGAAGAAATGTGTGAGTTATAAGATAATATGTAATAAAATAGTATTTCATGCTAATAAAACATAAAATCACGTCGCAACTACGGTCAACCACAATACGCATCGCAACACCTGCAGTGCCCACGATTACATTAGCCGCATATCTGAACGCAACTAAAATCCATGAGTGGGTGCAACAATGGCTAAAAAGAGTGAGACCACCAAGAGATCTCACAACACCACATCTCCATCCAAAACAATACAAGAGTCATTTATCTTATATATTCTTTATTGAAGTCATTCTTCTAATAGAAGGCTTATTAGTGTTTACCACCGACACATCTGATTACGTTCAATTAATTCGTTTTTTTTAATTTTTATCAGTATCGAAGTGTCTATGATAGTATCGTGTTTGGTGTCTTCGTCAGTTCTTCAAGTAATCCATTAAGGGGTTTATCAACCATACCCATCTCACAATGTTTCACCTCCCTCTCTCTCCATTGATTAAACTAAAGCTCACACCATACATGAAAAAAAGTTTACCTGAGCAGCTATATATAGTGCTTGAAAATCTTGCAGTTCTGGGGAAACAGTAAGAGCCAAAGATTATCCTCACAGCTATCTGTTCAACACATATATTACGGACCCAAATAGCAATGAAGGATGAAAAATAATACAATTTGTGATGTGAATATCTCTAAGAAAATGATGAATTGAAAAAAACTGGTAACTAACCTATACAATTAAGGAAGGTAGGTGCTTGATTGAATTCCTGTATGTCCACTCCAGACCTAGCTAGCTACTACAAATGGAATAAAAAAAAACAAAACTTTACCATATTTAGCTACAATACAGTAGAGACATATTCATAGTTTGACAATGACCCTTCAAAAAAAATTCCCATTTTCTTCTGGATTTTACCCCACAGATTATATGTATCAAGCACAAATTAATAGGGTTAAGCAGAAATTAGGGATCAGATTGAGGGGAAACATGAATTCATGTAAGAAAAACAAAAGGATTTGGTGAAATTTGATCATAAAATAAACAGAATTTTCAGTTAGAGAATGAATAGTAAAAATGCGTACCTTTGAGAAGCTCCATTTGGGATAAGGATTCAGCATAATGAATGAGTTCAAAATAAAAGGTACCATAAAAAGCCACGCTTTGGTTACATCGCCATAATCAAAAAAATTAATAAATTCTATAATAAATTTAATATTATATTAACTAACATTAAATTAAAGATTTCACCTCCAAAACTTACACTAGGTTTTTCTTAGAAGCAAGTAAATCTACTATCTTCCTTACCTTCAACTGAGCACCATTTCCTCGTCCTAAAAATTTATAACAAAAATATAGTAACAAAATAAGTGTTAAAAAATGAATATGTAAATTTATAGATGCCACATATCATAGAATCTTTAAATAAAATTTTGTTTTTAGAGCTTATCCATGCCTCTAATATAATCCTACTATGATGCTATTTTGATACATGTTAAAATATCACTAAAAAAAAATCTAAAATATTAAGCAAATGTATAATTAAAATAAGTCAAATATATCTCAAATCATAGCTCAATTGGCAAAAATCGATATTGTTAATTTAAATAATAACTAAAATTCAAACCCTAGTACTCAGTTGTGAGTGAGTTTCTGATAGTTATGTAAAAACAAATCACAAATATATACCTAAAATAAATAAGGCAGAAATAGATAAGAGAGTTGATTCATCACTCAAGTAAACTAGAATGAACTAAAGGTAGAGTAATGGAGTCATATACCTAAAGATATGATGATGATGTAAAATGAAGAGAGAGACATTGAAGAGATGAGAAGATGACAGAAAGAGAAGTGAGCACACACCGAGAATTGTATGCTGTCATACAATCACGACCGGCGTGTGCTCACTCTCTTCTGTCATTAACTTTACTCTCTAGCACATATGTCTCTCTCTTTGAAACAGTATTCAAATATGGTATCAACCCTACCACTCTCCAGTGATAGAGTTGTAAGATCTTGATCTGCAATCTCATTTCCTAGACACACACATACTGCACTTCTGTCTTACACTGCACATATATGCATCACCTCTAAATACTATCTAATTAGGGCTCTTTGCTTTCTCGCGGTCTCTGTCCCCCATATCCTATCCTTTTCAACCAACATTGCTAGCTCATTACTCATACCAACCAATTCCTTCAATTTGAAGGACAGAAAAAAGAAAACTCTACTCCCCTCCATTCTCTCAACCTATAACTCACTCTAAACATACATACCAAACACAGATAGCAAACACAACACCACACGGACACGCGTTAATACTAATGCGTTACGCCTTTTATCAGAAATGTCGGTGTCATACAGAGAATTGGAGTGAAATAAATAAGGAAGAAGGACAGATATATAGAATCTAAGATAGATATACCGACAAGGTGAAGGTGATAAGGGGGAGGTGGTGATTCATGTGCTCTTTAATATATTTTCCATTAATGAATAAAAATTAAAAAGTACTGCTTTTCAACGACTTTGTGAGGTTATTACTATTTCAGAAGAAAGACACGGCAAACAGTACAACAAATATGATATGATATAACGACCGTGCAATTCAATTTCATGTTCCAATAATGTTTTCAAATAATTTATTAATACTAAGTCTAATCCACAAACCTGCACTAAGGTGAAAGAAAGGACAATGAAGAAATGGAATAAAAACAGTACATGTCGACTATCTATTGGCTTAGAAACAGATTAAGCTACGTGTCAAGATTCTGTTGGTCTATAAAAAATCTTAATTCTTTGCAATCTTACCATAAAATAATAAACTTCTGAATTATAGTACTGCTGCTATATGTACCATTAGTACTACCATAATATTATACTGCTTCATGCGATTAACCACACTGTTTGCCTATTTGATATTTTAGTTACCTTGTAGTCTCATGACAACTGGTTTTGTTTTTCTGCGTTTTGACAGGTTTTGAGAGGGATCAGAGATTTTACATTGCTACCTTGTGTTTCAATTTTGTTTTTGGTTCATACTTGTAATGTTAGTTTTGTTTAGATGATTTGATATTGGGCTTACAGAACAGGTTATACGAACATATCTAATAATAGTAGTAGTTTAGTTTCATAAAACGCATGAAAAATATTTATAGTATCTATTCGCTAATAAAACCCGTCACGAATACTAGTTCGATGATTTGTTGGTTATTCACATATACATATATGGATTTGATGATTTCCATATTTGTTACTTCATGAGTACGGATACAAATTAGAATTATCTATTAGTTTACGAGTATGAATACAAATTTAATGATATATGTATTCGTTAATTCACAAGTACATATATGAATTTATTATTAGAGATTAAACCTTAGACCATCAATTTATACTCATTTAACTCATGTACTCATACCAGTTTATTATTATTATTATTATTATTATTATTATTATTATTATTATTATTATTATTATTATTATTATTATTATTATTATTATTATTATTATTATTATTATTATTATTTGAATAAGAAATAATAATAATAATTTATTGTTATTTTGTTGAATAAGAAATAATAATAATAATAATAATAATAATAATAATAATAATAATAATAATTATTATTATTATTATTATTATTATTATTATTATTATTATTATTATTATTATTATTATTTTGTTGAATCTACTATAATTATGTGGTAAAAGAATATATAAAATAAATGTAATTTATTTTGTTATTATCATTTATTTTGGTCGGTTAGAGGATCAAATGACCACGACCTAAAGAAGGCATCAATTCACCTAATCACTCGTGATGTAGGAGTAATATCCTTTGCCAGAGACCCACCACCTCCTCCTCAAAGCGGTAATGATCAAGTCATCAAACACTTCTCAACATCTATATTTCGATCAACTTTCCCCGATTATAAATTTTGCTCCATAATTCCAACAAGTGAATTGTTGTTCAGGCCGCCAGTACCCCCTTCGCTATCAAAACTAGAGACACTGTCTGGAATCGAGTTACTACAAACTAACATTGGTGTCCAAGGCATGAACAAACTGTATAACATGGCTCGACAACAAAACTCGCAAGTAGTTGAAGAAAGTCTGCACAACGCGAATCTAAGAGATAACACAGTGCATCAAACCTCCATCCAAAGGAATCGTATGATCGTCCCTGAGTCGGTCGCATCTGGCCGACATGCGCACTCTAACTTCTCTGAATCGTTAAAAACATATTTTCTAGATATGACACCCCAAGAGCAATCATTAGTGATGAATGAACTCATTTTTGCAATAAATTATTTAAAAATTTGATGGAAAAATATGGAGTTAAACATAAAGTTGTCACATTCTATCATCCACAAAGTATTGGTCAAGTTGAAGTTTTCAATAGAGAGATAAAAAAGATATTGGAAAAAGTGGTGAATCCTTCAAGGAATTATTAGTCCAAACATTTGGATGATACTCTTTGGGCATATAGAACATCTTACAAAACTCCTTTAGGCATGTGCCCTTATCAACTTGTCTATAGCAAGACATGCCATTTTCCAATTGAGTTGGAATAAAAAGCATTTTGGGCTGCCAAAACTTTGAACTTTAATTTATCTGTTGCTGATCAAGCTAGAATGCTTCAACTCAATAAGCTAGAGGAACATAGGCTATTCTTTTATGAAAATGTTGAATTGTGCAAAGAGAAAACAAAGAGGTGGGATGATAGTAAATTCCAGAAAAGAAATTTGGTAGTAAGCCAAAAAGTTCTTTTGTTCAATTCTAGGCTTAACCTTTTTTTTTAAAGAGAACTTAAGTCTAGATGGTTTGGTCCCTTTAAATTAGTAAAGATTTGTCCTCATGGGGCAGTGGACCTATTGAATGAAAGAATAGGATAAGAATTCAAAGTCAATGGCCAAATAGTTAAATCTTATCTTGGTGAATCCTTGCACAATACAAGGGTCACTTTGGATTTAAATGAATCATCCTAATTGTGTTGAAGTCAGGCTACAAGACTATAAAATAGCACTACTGGGAGGCAGTCCAACTTAACCTTTATCTTTTTAGTACAATTTATGTTCAGATGATTTTGATAACTTGAGAAAGTTGGGACGAGTCACTGTCAAGTGTTGTCCCGCCAGCAATTTATGAGCTATACATGAGAATGAAGGCCTTTGTTGCTTCTTGAATTCAGAGAAAAAGGAAAACTGACAATTTTGCTAAAATGGGAAACGTGAGGATATGGAACAAATTGAAGGCAGGAAAGAGAAGATGTCACACTGTTGTACCCCAAAATTTGCCCTCTTTATTTTTAATTCTAATTGGCTTTTATTTTATTAGCATATACATGCATACATGTCATTGGATCTATACTAATGGAATCAAGGCATTTTATCGGCATCAAGCTCTGAGACAATTGTTTTACCAAGCGGTACAACAAAAATAGAAATTCAAGGTTTTTCGCATTTTAATACGCTCTGCATAGTTTCCAAGTTATCCAAGCAATTGTCAATCAAGTCTTTATCAAAGCTCTCATGTATTTCAACGCACTTTGAATTGTGGAGGAATTGGATGTTTCGGTGAATTTGAGGCAGTGTGAACTAGAAACATCATCTTTGCTGGTTTGAGCTTAGAAATTCGTAACTTGCTATCAGAGTACTGTTTCGAGCTGATTCCTCAAGCATTGGAACTGTCTCGGTATTTTCTTTATTTTATCTGTTCAGGCCAAAAGTCAATTATATGCTGAAAGTCTCCGAATATTTTGTTTTCTCTGAAGCAATATTTGGATTTAATGACTAGTTGTATGTTCACTGAGTGTTTGGAAATTCGTAACTTTAATCCGATTTGGTATTTTCAGTGGATTCCTCAAGTTTGAGATTGTATTGATTCTTTTATCATTTCTCATGTTCAGACCAAAAACTAATCGTGTGAAGAAAATCTCCTATAATTTTAATTCTTTGAAGACGGTATATTGAATTTATTTGTTGACCCGTCATCGCGCACATACTCAAAAATTCGTATCTTCTGTTTGGAATACTATTTTGGGGCGATTCATTAGGCGTTGAAATCATCTTAATGTCTTCTCCAACTCTCGTGTTCGGACCGAAAGCTCATTCTTTGAGGAAGACTTTCGAATATGCAATTCTCCTGGAAGTGATACAATGGAAAAACGGTAAAAATACTGTGTTGAACCGTTATTTTGTGGATGTTTGAAAATTGATAACTTTCTCCATGTTTTCTATTTCAGACCCGTTCTTTTTTCTAAATTTCCGCCTCGAAGCCATCTTCATTCCGTTTTTGTTGTCCGAGAGCCAATTCTGATCAGAAGGCCTCCGAAAGTTGGATACACTGAAGGATTTTTATGACATGTTTCACCGTATTCTTAATCTTACAAAAATCATAACTCGGTCGATTTTTAATGTATCCGGCTTTTCTTTTGACACAAAGTCACAAATATTGCAAGCTACAAGTTCACAAGCAAGCCCGAGTTCGAACAGTACTCCAAAGACCTTCATTTTTAGCTTATTTCGCAAAACGGAGTTGCTGAATCGAAAAAGGAAATTCGAATTTAATTGCCGTTTCACGAGAAAATTCATAACTCAGTCAATTTTTATCGTATCGGGCCCATCATTTTACACGAGGTCACTGAGTCATAGATCTACATCTTTGCTTCAAAAGTCGAGTCTGGATTATGCTCTGAGAAATACCAGTTTTTGATCGAAAAGGTATGTGTCTGACACTGACGCGAAAACTGGTGCTGAAGGATTTTATGTCGATGTCTCGATATTCAAAAATTCATATCTCACTCGTCTTTCATCAGATTGAGTTAATATTTTGACACGAGGTCTCTATTAACGCCGGATACGTTTTTATTTCATGCCCCGACTTTGAATTTCGCACCTAACCCCCTGCGAATTTTACCTGAACGTGTCAGACACTGATGAATTAAAAATCTGCACTATTGTTTGATGTTATTTGAAGCTCATTAACCAAACTCACACTATATATTCTCATTCACACCAATTTCTCTCGTAACATAATTTTCCATTTTCTATTCTCTCAAACTCTCTCACATTCTCTCTCAACTTCATAACAACTTCATCCAAAACTCAAGAACATTCAAAGTCAAAAGTCAACAATCTTCAGATTCTTTCTCTCTTTTTTAGATCAGCCACCGAATTTTTCACCGTGCACCTCCCTCGACTCGCCGGAAGCTCCTCCAGCCACCTCTAACAACCACCGCACAAAGGCCGCAGGCACCACTCTCTCTGATTGCAAAAGTCGTACTCCTCCTCTGTCTGTTTTGCTCTCCGATTGTGATTCTTTAAGCTTCTTCAATCTCCTCTTCTCTTCAAGAGGTAAAATTCTATCACTCCCTTGATTCTTGAATTGTAATGTGATCTTTTGGAATTGTGTAATTGAGGCTTTGAACATCAATTATTGATAAGTTTAGATGTTAATCTTGATTGAGAATTAAGAATTGGACATAGAATTTGTGGAATTGAGCATTAATTCTTGTTGAAGGAAACTAATGCACATAAGGTGTTTGTGGTAATGTTTAGGCAATAAAACTTGAATTAAGAGAAGGAGTATAAGTTGTAGGAATGTTATTTTGACATGGTGATGTTGAAGAAATGTGGCATAGGCTAGATTTATGATGGAATGGTGAAGTTGTGATTGTTTGAATTCAAGGTGAAGTTGTGATTGTTTGAATTCAAGGAGAAGTTGCATTGAAGTTGTGATGCACAATTGGCTTAACATTGATTCTTGAATGCATAATTCATGTGTTGATATTAATGAGATCACTTGCTTTTAAGGCATAATTTCTACAACTTATTTCATGAGCTTTGCTTGATCTTGTTTTACACATAACATGCTTGATTCTAAAAATTGTCAAAACTTGTTGTGGCTTGTGGTGATTAGAGAAGTTTTCTTGTTGTTTAATTGCATAATTGATATGAGGTTAGGATTTACAATTCGGTACAAAACGCCTAAACTTTCAAAACAAACCGAATTTCTAACTTAATGTCAATTATGGAAGTAATTGTGAGACTTTGTTATTTATCATATGTTGAAATAATTTCCAAGTCTATGAACAAATAAGTTCTCATTTTCAATACAAAAACATAGAATTTGGGAATTAAGTAAACATTTGATTTTTGTACATTTTCATCTGTTTTGGACGTTTTTTGAACACAAAGTCACACATCTCTTGATCGTTAACACTCAAGATACTTATGCTTGATGTTTAACGGGTGTTTAAAGCTAATTTTCACGTTTTTGGATCGAAATTCCGCTTGTTTCATGCCCAAACAGAGTTGGTGCCCTATACCATAAAACTCTCTAAAAGTCATACTTCGGCTTAGAATTAATTCAAACCGGATACATTTTTGAATCCGTTGACGTGCTTGCAAGTGACCATGCGATTTTCATCGAATTCTGAGCCAACTTTTTCTACTATTTTGTCGTTGCCCGTGCACGGAAGTCCTACTTTTGGTTTGAATTAATTTGAAACATTTACATTTTTGAATCTGTTGACGTGTTTGCAAGCAACCATGCGATTTTCATGAGATTCCGAGCATTTTTTACCTCTTTTACAACTAGCCGTGCGTGAAATTCGTGCTTCCACGTTTTTTACTGAACCGATTGCAGATTTGGATTTCTGGGCACACTTATAGGTTACGGTGTAAATTTCATTCCATTCCTAGCAACTTTTTCCGGACGCCTAATTTCATAAAACACGTTTCTACCATTTAATGCAAAATTTTGATTTTTTGTTCTTAGTGCAGATTTTTTACACTTCTATGTACAAAATTTCATTGTTATAATATCCATTTGTTGTATACTCATGTGTGATATTTCATTTGTTGATTATCAGATTAATTTTGACACAGTTTCGATACCGTTTATCTTGTTATCTTTTGATGTGTTTGTTCATTGTACAAGGTACATTCTATGGTGTTTGATCATGTAATGCAACATTGGTTATGTGATCAAAACTTATGGCTTATGCTCGCTTCCAACGCGATACGTCTTGTTTCTTATTTCATGAGAAATGTCCTTTATTCACACTTGTTGTATATTGTCTGGATATGTATAACACTTTGTGTAGGAACTCTGATATATGGTGCGTTCGTGGCATGCATTTTTATATTCATTTAGTTGGATATCATTTCTGACTATGTTTGTTTCATGGTGAAGCTTGCTTGACGTATTCCCTACTTTTCTATTGCTTTCCTTCGCTATTAATGAATTCACGTTCGATTGGTAGCCGCCACAACTGCTTTCGCTTTCTTGCATTTTTATTGCATTTCTTTATTGCTTTCCTTGCCATGAGAAGTAGGATAGAGATGTATGATAGAGGTCTCCGTTGCTGATCATGTCAGGAACCCCTCTGGTTTATTTAAAGGCTTGTTTAGGACAATTCTGCATTATGTGCCATTGTATGCTATTTGTGTTTGGCTTGTTTAAAGACCCACCTTTGAAGTGGGCATTTTGTAGGCGTGTTTAGACTTGTGCCCAAAGACCTCAAAGAAGGCGCCCATTCCCATTCTCCCATTGATAAGTCCTCAAACGGAGGCGAGCGGAAATGGTTCACAATCAACCCTCGCATTTCGTTCGTGTCATCCTTAGCTCGTGACGCACCATGATGCTTTGGAGTGTGCTGCTCTTGTTGTCAAGTCAGTCAGATGGAAAAGGGATTTGTAATCGATTCCCCATATTTTGTCTTGAGTTCACGTTGGTCGACGTTGACGTTTCACTTTTATCCCTTACTCTTCTTTCCTGGAAATACGATGCCCCTGTACGGATTTTATTCCCACAGATAGCTTGTTTGCCTCGGTTGATATGACCCCTTGGCTAAAGCTTCCCATTTCCTACCTCAATGCACAATATCTTGGTTAAGCCTTTGTGACTTGAGCTAGCGTGCGCTTCTCATGACATGTGTGTGCTCTCTTGAGCTTGTTGATTGCTTGTTTAGTTTTCATCCTTGTATATGCCATGTTCCCTTAGGTTTTGAACCTTTATATGTTCCCTTAAGATCGCTCGATTAGGATAGCTTTTGAGATAGACATTAGGATAAGTATCCATGCATGCTAACGTAGGTAGAGATTCCCCTTTTCAACATCGACCTTAGGATTAATCATTGTATGATAACATTAGAGATAGATTTAGGATAGTCTCTCTTAGATGTTTTTCTTTTCTTTTTGCATCCTTAAGACTAAAACCTTTTTTAGCAAATGCATAAAACATATAACAACTATCAAATACTTTTTCAAGGTAAAAAACATCAACCAATTCAAACCTTTTTTCGCCTTCGGGCTTTGCATCAAAATTAATCTTTTTCAAAAAGAACGTGTTAATTAACTTCTGTGCTGATGCGTGAATCTCCAAAGGTCGAGTTGCGACAGAAGACGAAATTAACATTGTTCATTAAAAAACAAAAAATAAAGTGAAACATGTAAGCCGAACTACGGCGCTTTGATTCCTTAAAACGGATACGTAGGCATCTGGTCACAGGGCTCAGTCAAGCAAAACTTTATAAATATTTCCTTCTTTTTGTAAAAGCAAGCTTCTCAAATGCAATTTTGTTTTGATGAAGACAAACTATGATTGACAAAGAAGGCAAAGATTTTTGATCCAGCTAAAAGCATCTGTGGATAAAGTCTTCAGTTTAAGCACTTAGCAAAATTTCAAGGTATAATGATAATACTTACTTTGAACTTAAGACATAGATGCTCAATGGTCAAAAAAATATATTTTATATTGTCCAAATCTTTACTCAAGTTTTTCTAAAGCTAAAAATCATTTTTTACTTGAGTGAAATTGATTTGCATATTAGTGTAATCAATTGCATGCTTCAATTTTTTAAATCTTTTGCTACTGTTTCTAAGTGTAATCGATTTGCATGTTTATGCAATCGATTGCACTCAATCAAATTTTGCTACTGACTTCACATCCAATTGATTTACACTCTTGTGCAATCGATTGCACACTTAAAATATTTGAAACTCTAGCTGTTGAAACCCCGTGCAATCGATTTACACAAAGGGTGCAATCGATTGCATGCTGCACGATTTTGAAAAACAGTAGCTTTGCACATGCCTGTTCATAACACCATTTCATGGAAACCTTTCACTCAATCTTGACAATTGTTCATGATTCATCTCCAGAACTTTATGCTGTTTCAAAAAGGTGCTATGAACATATAAATACTCATTTTCAAAATCATTTCAACACCTCTTCCAATTATATTTTCTGAATTTTCAAAAAATAAACTCAAGCTGTTATACATTTTCATACACAAGTTTTCTGCACACTTTCACATATTGTTAACCAGAAAACTTTGAGCATTATATATCTTGAGTCATTGTATACTATTATCATTGGAAGATAAGATCAATTCATTGATTAAATCACTCAAAGTGATCATTGCTACTCAAACTCACTCAAATCAAATATTGCTATATACTTGCTTATTTTTCAGGATTTTTGGAAATAAGTTTAAGTGGTTTTATAAATCTTGTTTTTCCAGGATTGTTGGATACAAGTGAAGTCACTTTGAGAGGATTGTTCTCATTGTTGACATAGTGAAAATCCAAGAGGATTATTCTTGGTCCAAGAGGATTGTTCTTGGTTTTGGGTAGTTCTTGTTTAAGGTTACCACAATAAGGAAATCTCTTTCATATTGAAAGGGGACTGAAGTACTCTCGGACTGTAAGGGGAACCAGGATATATCGCTTGTGTCTCTTTATTTTTCTGAACTTTACTCTTTCATAAACTCACAATAAACCAGAAAAATAATATCCATCATCACTAAAACCAGAATTTTATAAAGTACCTAATTCACCCCCCCTCTTAGGCGCACTTCGTACTTACACTTTTCCCCATGTTTTCTTTTGCATGCATTCCCTCTTTGCATTTCCTTTTTAGCTCTTAAGCATTAGATTTTAACACACATTTTAATTAAAACAACAAGAGTGGATACCGTAGGGTACTACGGGCATGTAGAGTGCTAATACCTTCCCCTCGCGTAACAAACTCCCTTATCCAATCTCTTGGTCGTTTGATCGTGATTTCACCATTCTCAGGTTTACTCGATGTCTACCTTTCCCTTCCCATGAGATAAAAAACATTCAATGGCTACTTCATTGATTTTATCTCAATGATTTGTTCAGCTGGTTGTGTTAGAACAAAGATTTGGTACTACAATATTATCTCTGAGTTTTGATGATAACAAATGATTATGTTTGTATGAATAATTTTGATACTCTAATGTTTGTTATTTTTTAGTATTTAACAAACAGGTTCTGCTTCTGATGGATGGTGTGGCCAAGACATTATAAGAGAATTAGTTCGGCTTCTGTGCTACATAAGCTCTCATGAACAATAGCAAGACACTCTAGAAGGCTCTGAAGTATAGACTCTGATGTTTTTCTAAAAGAAACAAGTTAGAAGATCTGAAGGCAGAAGTTTCTACTTACGTCCAGATGTTGAAGACTCATGCTTCTAAAGACAAAATATTCTAAAAAAACAATTCAGAAGATCTGAAGACAAAAGTTCTACTTAAGTCCAGATGCTGAAGACTCGTGCTTCTAAAGACAACGTGTTCTAAAGAAACAATCTGAAGATCTGAAGACATAAGTTTATACCTAAGTCCAGATGCTAAAGACTCAAGTTTCTAGAGACCAATGGTTCTAAGAAAAAGGTTCTAAATACCAAGTGTTGAAGACTCTGAAGGCAGTAGTTCTTAAGACTTGAAGTTCTAAAGACCCAAGATTCTAAGAAAAGGTTCTCACAACCAAGTGCTGAAGACTCTAAAGACTTGAAGTTCTGTTGACCTTGTGTTATGTTCTCGCTTCTAAACTCATGCTCGCAGAAGCCTCTAAAATACAGAAGGAAAAAAGATAACGTTAACGTGGTACAAATAGTACATAGTATAGTCAATGTTTCATTCCACTACCATGAAAGGACGAACGCATTGCACGTTCTTGTCCCCCACGTTACTGCTCAAGCCGCCAATGATTCTGGAAATACCAAGAGTACCCCTCAACGAATATATTATTTTATTGGCTATATAAATGCTTGAAGACTAAGAGAGAAAGCGAGAAGAATTCATTGTATATCCACGCATAAAGTGTTGTTCATAGCTTTCATGTTTTTGGTCTATTGTTCTTAAAATAGTTTACATATTTAGCTTATGTAGAAGCAATATTCTTGTAAGCAAAAATTGTATTCAAACAGTTGTTTGATTTCCTTAAGAGACCGGTTAGGTCAGTATTCTTGAGAAGTCTAGGACTAGTGTGTCTTAGAGATTTGATTTTTCTTAAGGGACCGGTTAGGTATGTATCCTTAAGAAGTCTAGGACTTGTGTGTCTTAGAGGTTGTTAGTAACTTGTGGGTAGCTTGTGCATTGTGATAATCAATTGAATTATTGGATTAAGTCCTCGTTTGAGAGAGGCGAAATCACCTTGGCGGGTGGACTAGACTAGCTTGATAGTTTTCAAATGAACTAGTATAAACATACCTTGTTCTTTACTTCCTATTCTTAATTATTGTTATTATCAAGAGTGGAGAAAAAGTATTTTTAATTAAAGGGGAATATTTTTAAAAGAATTTTTTTTTGGTTTAAAACCCAATTCAAACCCCTATTTCTTGTGTTTTTCACACCTTCAGGTTGTTTCACACACGCGTAGACAAGCTTTGAGCCTTGTGCGTGGCATTAGCATTTGGACATGCCATTTAATGAATTGTCTGTCACACCTCATGATTATGGGGGTTGCTACAACCTACGAGTAACCACCTATCAAAGTAACCATAACCGATTGTCTCCCCCTCTCTCTTGGAAGTTTCAAAATTATGAAATTTTCCCTTTCCCTCCCTCCATCCTTTAAAACATGCAAGCTACCAACTCCCATCATCAATCTATACAATTTCAAAAGCTCCTAAAATCTTAACCTCTCCCTCTTCCAAAACCGTTCCACAAGAAAAACTTTCCTTAAACCTTTCTTTCACCCTTTTCCTCAGAAAACTTCCATTTTCCTTTACACCTAAAACCCTAATTCTAAAATGAAGCCATAATGCACTAGAGGACGCTACAAGACTTGTGCTCATAAGAAGTCCACACTTGTGGTGGAATTCTTAGATGATGATTATGATTCTAA